GAATTATAATCTACATATTGATACCAAAATTATTGACATAAGTTCATGAAATAGTAGTTCAATAAAATTTTGAATGCATGTCAACAAACGAGGTGACGTGGCCTTTCACCTGTGATCCATTTTGAAAGGGTTAAATGAGATAAAGAGAGCAAGAAAGCTCAATGGTATAAAGTAAAAGTGCAAATTAAATAGTACATATGATGCTTTCAAGATTTATTTAATTAATGTTTTAATTGCCATAAAGCATATATTGTGAAGGTGAAAGCACTGTTACAATTCTTTTGTTTAATGTTTAGCATGTTGTTGTGGTGAAGGTTGAAAACGTCACCAGTTGTCAGTAGCAACATTGTTCAGACCTTTTGATACACATGAATGGCTTGTGTTAATAATGGCATATAACCTGAATTTGAATCACTAGCTTTTCTACATATTAATAAAGCAAACTGTGTTGCTTCTTTTAAAATTTACTTACAACTTGATTATTATTTCCAATACTGAAAAATGTAACCTGTTTTACAACACTACTGACTCTCAAATGCCATTACTTCATTATAATAATAGTGAAAGAACAGTTATATGTTTGTACATATGCTTGGCTTTTTAGGCCTACGACATGGTTATACAGTGTTACATTTACAAACATAATAGTGTTGAAGTTGAAATAATTGCCAATTTCACCATATAGATATAGTATAGACTATATCTTTTCAGTTGTTCTGCGTGTAGTTAATGACATTCTTATAAGCCAGATGTGGAAGGGTTGTAAACTTGTAATTATCTACCTTGGATGAATGTTGTATACTATGATACTAGTTACAAAATCTTATGTTTGCTTGGCCCTATTTTTGTATCATCCTCTGGGAGTGAGGTTATTCTCAAATCAACTTGTACAAGTTGATATGAGCTAGAGGTTCTGTCCCATTAATATGTTTATTTGGAATTTTCATTGACGTAGGATTGTGGGATATTGCACAAGGAATCTGAATTTAAAATGTGATATTTCATTACTATTTGTTTGGGCTTTGTCCTGTTTGGAAATGTTTTTGTTTTATCCTAACCTGTCCCAGCAACCAGTTGAATTCTTATAACAGAAGTAGAAATTGTCCAGCAAGTCAAGACTTGCACTGTGATTGTGAGTAAAGATACAGTTAATTTATTTACTTATGTTTGCTTATTTTCCTTTGCTGTTTGAGTTCATTTTAATTCTGCGTAATATTTCCAGAACATGCTCTTTGTGGATTTGTGATTCTTATCTGTAGGACATCAGTTTTTCTTAATACTACAATAATATGTACTCCTGTTTATTAACTGATAGCCTGATGCAAAAAAACAAATTATATAAGAAGTAACTATTTTATTAAACCTCATGAATTTGAAACTATGCTTCAATTTCAGTTGAGGCTACTACACTATTCAACAGTTCTGTGTAAAACAAAATTTATTTTGATTGCTGGCTAATTCTTGTAGTTTGCAGACAAACCAAGTCATTGTTTCAAACATTGTATATATTTTCTCCCTCATTTACAAATGACTCTTATTGGTGACTTAGAGGACTCACTGCTAAAGCAATGTTTTAAAGTTTTGTGAATATTTTTTAGTTAGTATTGGTTAACATAGTATACTAGTGCTGTTTTATGAATAACTGTAACAGTATTTCTTTACTATGTATGACATTTTAATTTCTAATATTTATCATTCAGTAGTATGAAAAATATATGCAGAGCAATGTAGGCCTTTTGATGTAGGAGATAAATTTACCTGACTATTGGTTGATGGTTTTTAAAGAACAAACTTTTTATCAAACACATTTCTCTTATTACAATAGATTCAGTTTCTAGATGAGTTGACTTACCAGTAAGTGCTTTTACTAAAATCTAGGTGTATTACCATTAGAGTTAGTCTTAACAAGGCAGTCCATGAACTTTATGTTTATATGAAAGTTAGGAAGAACATTTTCGTAATCTGTCTGATAATAGTTAACTAAATATTAAGTTTTGTTCTAAAACCTGTCTACAGGGAGTGTTTCATGGAATAGACAACTATATTAATGAAGCCAGTTACATGAGCATGATTGGCACTACACCTGGATGGGGTGGAAAGACCTTCATTGTTCAAGTAAGAACTTAAGATGAATATTTTTTTTATCTATGCTGTTATTAGTTCTTTTTAATTTGTGTCACATTTAATGGACATTATGATGGCCTTTGTGATATTCTAAATACAGACATAATTATCATACATCAGCTTCTCTAAGGACAAGTGAAAGACTGTACTAGTACAAAACCAACAGCACTCACATAATTGTGTTGTACTATGGAAACTCATAACATACACCAGCTTCTCTGAGAGATTGTGATTTTGTATATAAACATAAGTATATTGATCATTTTACCAATAGAAAACCATAATCAGTGCAATATAATGATTTTTTTATAACAGAATATTGAATAAGTAAAAAAACAAAAACTCAGTAAAAATGTTTCATAGAAATGCAACACTACATAAGTAGAGTAGGCTTACAATGAGTTGAATGTCTGCATGATTATAATGATAGTTACACACCTAATTGTAGTGGGTTCTGTGTACCCATACTTTTAAATTGGATATTTTGACTTGAAAAATTTTTTAAGGCCTGCCAAACTCCTAAATTTCAACCAGGGTGGGTTAGCTTCACTTTATCATAACCATTAAATGTGTGATATTTTTTGACAAAAGCATAATTAGCCTTTGTTATTTTACTCAAATACATTTATGTGAATAAACTTTGATATTTATATGTATTAACTGCTCTGTAAATTAACATTGTAATTTAGGATGAAAATTATTACGAAAGCTGCTTCTGGTGTGACATGCTAAAGAAAAATCTTAACACACTTTTCAGAAGAAACAGCAGCTTTCTTTGTATGTATTGTATACTGTTGGTGAATAGTGGGAAGATAACTTGGACAAAACTAATTCTGACTGGGTAGGATTATGTCTGGTTATGAAGTGTTTATTATGTGAGAAATAACTGTGAAATGGGCAAAGATACCAAAGGAAAATTTTCAACCATGATTGATTTTTTTTCATATTTGGAAAAAGTTTCAATGTAAATTTAGAATATTTTCTTTTGATTTATTGGTATACTATGTTGAGCGAAAAAGTTTTTAATTCATCCAACAATTAAAAGTACTACATTTGTTGTTTAAACTGTTTTACTCCAATTGTTCACTATATGCATGTCTATTAGCTTAGCATAACAACGGGAGATCAGATGATAGACAACTGTTCTCTTAATTGTACTGTTGAATATTAATCAGTTCTAGTGTAATGAACTTTATGCATTTTAAAGTCTCTAGTATATATATATATATATAAATTTATTTATGAGATTAAATAAATCGGAACATGTTCAAAAATTGTTGTCATTGGCAAAGCCTCCAATAAACCTAATGTGTACAGAATTCAGTGTTTTCTTTCTGTTTGGAAAATAAAAATGTCAAGTCTTTGATATGATGAGAAAAAATTTTATGCACTATGTAAACAATTTGAAATTTGGCTAACAGAAAAAAAAAAGTTGGAGTGTTCTAGCTTGATTTTAAAAGTTGTACTTATCATGAAAACAGTCAAATATAGAAGTTTTCAATTAATACTTTAACTATCTCACTATGGACTCAATACCAGGGACTGACCTCATAACCATTTTGTGCTTGATATAGTTTTCAAACTATAAGTTTTAATACAGGAAGTATATCTTAGTGAAATTTTGCCAATTATCAATAAACATTACAATGCTTTAGTACACAAAGTATCAGATTTTTTTATAGTAAGTTTTAAGATTTTTTAATTAATGATTTTCTCATGCATTTTTTTTTCTTTTCCAATGTTGACTATCTAACATGTAAAGTAATTTTAATTTTATGATTAAAAATACTTTTCTGCATTAGAAAATTATCAAATTTCACATGTGAAATCTTTATAACCTCCAGTTAATTATAAAATTTTGTTCTAGTGAACCAGTATTTTCTAAAATGCAGTCACATTTCAGTTATAATACATTACATATCCATATATATTATTACCATTTACAAATAAGTTCTTAAATGTCAGTTATTTTTCTTAAAACAAAGAACAGTAGATAAAGAAATATAGAAAATGGGGTTTTTTTTCTACTTACAAATTTTGTACTCATTTGCCCACTTGCCATAACTTGCTAAGCCTTGTCAAATTTTGCATGTGGAGGATGTAAAAACAAAATAATGTTTTTAGGTTTTATATATGCATTTTGAAATAACCAAATATTTTAAATTACTCTATCAATATTGCAGAATTCTGCTGTAATTTATCAGGCTTACTAACTAAACTGTATTTGAGTAAAAAAATACTGTTTTTTGGACAACATTTTCACTTACCACTTCCTTTGGTGATTCAAGACAAAGAAATAATCTTGGGAACTTCCCACCTTTTAGAGACTGAGAAAACCACCAGGGGGACATTCTGAGCTTTTGATTGGTTTTTCACATGTCATATACAGAAGTAGGTGTACATAAGGAAGTATTTCCAAAATTGAAAATAGGTGGTGGGGCCACTGTGTTTGTTTCACTAAATTTCAGCAAATAGAAAATATAGGAGGTTCTTATTTTATATTTTAGCTTGTCAGTATTGGAAATTTGAGTTTCTAATCCCTTAGAAACTATAGATTTTGTATCTGGATATCACAAGCATAATTTGAACCAAAGCTACATTCAATACATCACGTGACGTAAAAATCAATATTTAGGAATTTTGTTTTATATATTCAGTTTTAAGTTAAGAAAACTAATGTATAATACTGAAATTTGAATTACAGTATACAGTGTGATACCAAACTTACTGGCTTACATTCATAAAGTAGTAGATCAATAAAATTTTTAATGTAAGTCTACAAACGTGATGAACATGCCCTTTCACCCCTGACCATAGGAAGACACGTAGTGAGAGGGTTAATAGCAGAAATTTGTAGAACTCGAATTCAGAAGGCTTTAAAAAATATGGAAACTGATAATTTTGAAAGATTAAGAATTTTGATTAAGGAAGTTTGAATATTTCTTTAAATAAGAAACCTTTTACTGGTTGTAAGGAACTTGTTGAGACAATGAAATTTGGCAAAGTTTATGGAACTTGCAGAAATTATAAAAATGTAAAATGTGTATTTCATACATATGAAGATCAGAAGCAAAACTTGGTACAGCTGATTTAATGTTATGAATTTATCTTGGTATTTTCAGACTGGGCTTGTAGTAATAAATGAAAAAATAAATTATGTGAGTTTTGAAAAAGACTGGAACTATTTACCAAGTTCTTTTCATATAATCTATAAATTAAAAAAAGATTTAGAAGATATTACCTGTCTCGGGTAGAAGTATGATTATAACAGCTTATCAAAATGGAGTTATTTAACTAAAGAAGAAAGAGAAAAAAACATTCTTCAAACATGGTGCATAATATTGAAGAATACTGTTGAAGACTTGTTATTTATAAAAACTAAGTATGTTAACAGAAATCTTAAGGTTTTATATAACTCTCACTTTAACTTTGCAGGATTAAATGAAATTTGAAGTGAGCTAAATCTCAATGCTTATTAACTTAAGAACATGTTTAGATCTAGATGATTGCCTCAAAGGTCCAGAAATGTTGATACAATATGGTATATAACTTGTTTGTAACCACACTTTCCTGTACAAAAAAACTTCTTAAGGTATCTAACTGTACAGCTAGCTAGCTTTAGTACTTAGGATTTGCTCATTTTGTATTAGTTTAGTTCAAAGTATGAACTGTGTTTGTTCTTATTGGATGACTAACCAGTACCATGATTACTGCATATTGAGACAGTGATACATAGTGCACACTTTTCTCTCAAGTAGTGCTTGTTAAACTTTGTCAGCTTTCAGAGCTTAGGAAACACTGTTGTTCAGACTAAAGTTTGTGTTTTTTAGATGTACGTTTTAGAAATTTTAAAAAAATTGTGGAACAACATAGCTTGACATTAAAAAAGTTGTAGGTTAATATACGGTATTAAACTGGAACAAAATGCTCAGTAAAAAAGAAGGTTGTGTGAAGTTATTTGTTAGAAATGCCACAGTTTCAGTACCAAAATTACGAACTACTGCTGGGAAGACAAAATTGTTCAGGATTTTGGGACAGTAGTTTGTGGAAAATCTAAAAAGATAAGAGAGAGATTAGACTAAGGAAATTAAGTGTTTTGTTTGAGTAATGCAACAAAGTTTGAAACAAGTATGGCCTAAGCTACAGATAGCTACAACCATGAATATTTGTTTTGAGCCTTATCCATCAATAATTAACCATCAGTACTGTAAAAAAAACTTTAAATCCTTACCAGCGTATAGGGTTGTTACTCCAAATAGCACAAGAAGATAAGAATGGTGATCCATTCCCCCTGGATAGAATACCAATCCATTGCAGGTTAACCCTCAGCTAACAGCTAATTATCCATCATACAACTGGGTAGACTGGAATAAGTGGGGTAAAGTGTCTTGTTCAAGGACACAACAGCATGGCATGGGCCAGCTTTGAATTCACAACCATCTGAGTGCCATTCAACATGGTATTACATATTTGACGTTAGAATTATCAACTATTCATTTTACCATACATTACTGATTTAGTTACAGTTTGTGGTAGAAGAAAATAAATATCAAATAGATTATTCAGGGATACATTTTGGAGGTTCTAGAGGTTATGCAAAATGCAAGGGGAACATATTAAAATCTCTTTGCACTCCATCTTGTCAGATTCTGAGTCACACTTCCACATTTTGTGTAGATACACATAGTAAGTTCAGAATTACAGTCAACATTTCTTTCCAATGATGGACTGATCCTGTGCACGTTTGATTAAGGTGTTTTGGGGATTCTTGTTTTTAACACATGATTACTTCAGCAGAATGTACATTGTTGGTGTTATTTAATACTGTTAATCTTATCTTGGTATTATTGGTTTCATGCCCCTCCTCCATACATGTGTTGTTTTATGAAAAGTTTACATTTTGTTTTGAAATAAATTACACTGATATGAAACCTGATGATTATGGATGTTTTTGTAACACTAGGAGTGTTATAAGTTAGATGATGGTTTTACTATGTTTTTGTTGTTTTTCATAGTGCATTAATCTTGATCTTGTTGATGTTATTTCATGTTCTCACAACTCTTTAAAAAGAAGTATCTTGGCATAGATTAGGGCAGAATATTTAAATGTTTGTTTCATTTTCAAAGATAACATTGTTATAGTTTAATGATGAATTTTGAAGTATTCTGTAAAATTAGTGATACTGTTTTCTCCTTGTTACTATATTAAAAGCTAGAAACAAAAATAAGTTAAAGGACTATAATTCTTGTAGGGCCTTGGCAATGTGGGCCTGCATACCATGCGTTACTTACATCGAGCTGGGGCTCGTTGTATAGGAATAATGGAAGTTGATGGTTGCATTTTCAATCAAAATGGAATTGACCCTCGAGAATTGGAAGATTGGAAACTGGTAAGAGAAGTTTTGAGATGTACTCTTGGACAGATATTTAGGCTGTGTTTTCATTTTAAGAAAGTTAATAATGAACTTCAACAGTCTTAGAAGTATTAAATCCTCTAAGTAAAAGGATTGGTAAGTGACAACTTTCAGATAACTTTTGTAGTCTATTTTCAGGTGGATGAAGAGGGGTTATGGAAGTTACAGAATAACTTGTTTATAGGATGTTAGTGTTGTGTTTCTGTTACATAATCATAAACTTTAGAATTATAAAATAAGTTTACTTGATAATATTTTATTATAGGGAAGTGGTACAATAGTAGGCTTTCCAGGGGCTGAACCTTACTCAGGTGAAAATATGCTGTTTGAACCATGTGACATTCTTATACCTGCAGCAACAGAAAAGGCAATAACAAAAAATAATGCTCATAAGCTCCAATGTAAGGTGAGTAGGAATGTTAATATCTTCATTTTTTTAGTAATGTCTTGATTACCAGAAAAAGATCTTATAATTATCTTGTGTGATAGTTGTATATATTTTTTATATATAATAATTATAAGTTATAATTGTATATCATACAAAATAGTTCTTTTATATGAATATAAGAATATAATATGAGGGTGAATAGAATATACAGAATTGTGTTCATATTAGTCATCTAAAACCTCTTGTTGCAAAGAGACTACATAAAATTTGTCAGTGTTAAAGGGCATAAACATTTAACTGTGCTAACGTAAAATCACATGTAGACTTTGCTTACTTTGACAAAAAGAAATCAAAACCAACCAGTATTTCTTACTGATAATATTAGGACTTCTTTTTTCAAGTTGAATTTTTCTATATGGTTAAGAACAAGTTAAAAATAAAAGTTAGTGTGTGTTTGAAAATACTAAGATTGAAAAATAATATCAAATGAATATCAAGTACAGAAAACCAGTTTAGCAATTGTAATGGCTCTTAATTTTTTTTAAAGAAATATTTTCTCCAATTTGTCTAAGGTGCTGTATTACATCTCCAGCTAGGCAAGTGAAAGTGCACATGTCAGGACTTTATATTTACATTCACAATTTATTTAATCTACTTTATTATCATTATATAAAAATCAACTTGGCATCAAAACATAGTTAGTAAAACAAGTTTTAATATTATATAAGTTTTAAGTTATTACTTTTATAAGGAAATATATTTAAAAAATCCTCAATCTTCCCTGGTGTGAGAGATGTATCATTGTTCTCTAGGACTTCCCTCTTTAATTCATTTACCACGCTAAAATCTGGGGATCAATTCTCTGAAATGGACACAGTAGATATCAAAAACAGTCAAACAAACAAGCTAAATTTTTAAAGGCTTCTATTGCCTAGTTAGAAAATCAGATACATTATGATAGCTATAGGATATTGTTTGCTTTGTGCATGTTGTTATTCTGTGTTCTCAGGTGCATTATTTAATTAAATAAAATTTTAGTGTACTGGTATCATTAGTATAAAAAAAAGTTTCATCGATTGTTGACAGCATAAAAACAAAAGAACACAGGTCACTACCACATTTCTTGTTTTTCATGTACTTTATTTATTATTATAAAAGTAACTAAAATGTAAAAATTAGAAACTTATTAGATTAGATTAGGTAAGAAAAATAAAAATAATTCTTGAGATGTTCTCACAAGCAGCACATTCACAAGAATGTCACGTAATTCAATACTGTAACTCAAGCTATGCATTCGCCTCTGAGAGAGTTACAACTTCTGTGGTGGAATTATTAGTTAGACATGGGTCAAGGGGCAATAAAAGTCAAGTATAAACGAATGTATATTGTTACAAGCTTTAAGCTATTTAGTATAAACAATTTTAGTTTACTGTTATAATTTGTAGTCATTCTAGAAAGAAAAAAGGATAACGTAGATTTATTTCATGTTTTTTTTATGGTGGTTACAAGACTGAATTCATATAGAGTTAGGATGGAAAAAATAATAGATAAAATGTAAAGTTTTACTGAAAAAAGTTTGATATGCATTTAGGAGGTTTTAGAGATTACGAAAATGAAACTTGACAATTTCAAGATGAACAAAAGTATTTTTAATCTTAACATAAAAACCACTTTACATTTGGAGTTGTCAAAACTGACTCCATATATATCATGGATAAATTTTTAGTAAAATACTTAATTCAAAAATTGATTTTTTGTGTACAAAAGAATTGTAATGTTTACATAAAACATATTAAAAGTTATAGTGTGAAAACTCTGATGGTCATTTTAGTGTCACAGGTTCAGTGTAATCCATTGAGCCCATAACGAGAGGGTTAATGTGATTAGAAATTACTGTATATAATGAATGTTTTTTCGCTTAATCATTTTAGCTCTCGTTACAAATAAAAGTTATAAAATGTGCTTTTACCATTCCAATAATTGTTTTGGAATATAAATAGTTAGAAAATTTCTGGCATTGAAGTTGTCATCAAATCACTTTAATCTGTGTTTTAGGAGAGCTTATTATGATACAAAATTTGTGCTTATCCTTAGCTGTGACAATAATACTAAGTTGTTGAAAATTGAAAGAAGTTTTATAGCAGGGCAACTGATGATTTCCTTCAGCTATGCCATTGTTCTTGTCTTGTTCATTGACTAGCCACCTAGTGGCATCCTATTTGTCATTTTCTGCAAACTTATGTATGTCACAAGATATCTGAATTATTTTTGTTTGTTGTTTAATAAAGTTTACTGTTGACCAAAAATTTGAATACAGTTGTCCTTTTTGGACACTCCAATTTTTATTGTGTTCGAGGCTTTAAAAAAAGAGGTTTATTGTCAACAGTATGTGAATTGCTTCTTCATGGCAATTTGAAGATCTTTGAATAACTTAGTTAATTTTGGGTGTAGTATGTAACAACACCTGTTCACTTTCCACTAAAGTTAATCATTTGACCATTCTGAAATGTAATATCTTCATTTTCTGTGATCATTAATATTTTCTAAGTTCAAAACAGTAATATACACATACAAGTCAGAGTTACTTTTTTCCCTATTACTTTTTAAAGCTTTTCAAAAATTTGCACAGAAGAACTTGTAGAGGAGTGAAAGCACATGTCATGTATAAATGTTACCCTAATGCCTTAGAGTTTATGATAAAAGCACCACTAGGTGGCTTTATCCTTGTATCAAAAATAAATAACTAATTGGTGTTAAAAATGTTATTAATCCCTATTCTAATTCTAATATATAAGTGACTCTTGAAAAATTGATAAAAATTTCACTTCCCCAACTTCATCTTGTTCACATCATCACAGTTGTTCATGCAATGTGATATTATAAATGGCATCTTGGCTACTACTGTGTCTATCATATCCCAGCTGGCCTGGCCAATTGCCTTGCAATCAAATTCCAGTTATCCTTAAAATTTTAATATCATTGCCACAATTAAAAAATGATGAAAAATACATACCAAAGAAATTACCTATACAGTCATACGTTCAGTGAAAATGTCAGTGCTGGGAAGATTTGACTGTCTAAAGTTTTCCTCCATTTTTGTACAGATTCTTTGTCAGAAAATGTGGTAGAAAGAACTAATATTTTATTCTTGTTATATTTAATTTATCTAACCATAACTAAATAATTAATTTCTGTAGGTGCACTAATTATTATAGAAAGTGTCAACTGTGTATAAACATTGGAAATGATAATGTGATATGTTTGCATTGTTTTAAAATCCAAATTTTATAGCATATATGAATTCTTCTAAGTTTGCCACAGGATAATAAATAATGGAAATTAAACTTATTAAAAATTTTCACATTGTTGAGCAGTTTTTCAAGAGGCAATAATTTGTGTCACATACAAAAGAAACCTATGTTTCATATATTTACAACCTAGATTATTGCTGAGGCTGCTAATGGGCCAACGACTCCCGCAGCTGACAAGATATTGATAGAACGCAACATTCTTGTCATTCCTGACCTGTATATTAATGCTGGTGGTGTCACAGTTTCATATTTTGAATGGTTAAAGAATCTAAATCATGTGAGCTATGGTCGTTTACTTTTCAAATATGAGCGAGAATCCAATTATCATCTTCTGGGTGAGTTTTTAGTTATAATAAGGTAATCTTATAATTGATATTCAAAAGTATCTTTTTAAAATGTTTGCACATAAAAACAATATATTTTACACTGTGCATATTTTTATATGGATTAGTTTGTATGGTGTAGTTTTAGTTGCAGAAGCATACTTTTTTATGAATCAGTTTGTATAGTGTAATCTATTTCATAATATGTACCTTTATCAGTGCTTCTTAAGCTTTTAAGGCTTGCATACCATTTTTTTTTTGTTTACATTTTTTGAAGTAAAAACTCAAGCCTACTTTTAAGAAAATGATAAAACATAGTGCCAGAAAATAATATTTAACACATTCTCATTAATGGGAAGGATGTGATTATTTTTTGTGACACAGTTGAAGAATATGTTGTGCAATTTTTGCTACTTTGAAGGGAAGAAAACGCTGGCAAATGTATTTAGGCCTTGGGCAAGTCTAGAAGTGGGGAGAGTAGTGTGTATATATATACGTGGGAAGTTCAAATTGGGCTTATTACAGATTTTATAATTTTTACTTTAATTTTTTTGCATACCATTGACATTAGCTTCATGTATCACCAGTGGTATGTGCACCACAGTTTGAGAATCCCTCACCTATATACCATGTCTTAACAATCTTCCATAATGAAATAATGGTTTGGGCTGTTTATCTTTTCAGATAGATTTATCATTTATGTTTTGCATACCTTGAAATTTTATAAACTGATTTATGAAACATACTAGCTTGTATTTTGTCTAATACAAATCAGTCACTTGAAGACAGTAGTTTTGAGTAATACCACCAAAATAAAGTTTATATTTTTTAAAGGGTAATTCTTTTCTGGGTTGTAGTGCAGCCACTTATGTTTTCTTTCTCTTAGTATTTTGTAAATTATTCTGAAAAATTAGTTTTTTGTTAGCTGGTTTTTATCCTTTATAATCTATTAATTATATTCTGCTGCTTCACTGCACCTGATCTGTTTGTTATCAAATTCTTTGTTATACAGCACATCTGTAAATTAAAACTATAGGCTTGAGTTTGTGCAGATGTTTCTTTCTTCTGGATGTTTGCTCAAAAAATAGAGGAAACGCATTGTTGAAGCAGTAAAATTTATAGAAAAATAAACTGTCAAATGTGTATGCAATGTAAACATTTACTTAAGCTCATTACATGATCCACTTACAGCATTGTGAAGGAATTCCAAAAACATCATTAGCTCTTATTTAATTTCTTTTAGCAAAATCCACAGCAACACCTTGCATTTGTAGTTCGATGAATTTTAAAGTACAAACAGGAGTGTAAAACGTTTTTCATGTAGTAGCCCCCACAGGCTAGTAGGTATAGGAAACTTGCTAGCCTAACTATTAATTTTCATTATAATGACTAAATTATTATTCATTGCAATAACTTCTTACAGTGTATTACAAAGCTAAAATTAATATAACTTACTACAGTATATGTGATGTTGATGTAATATCTATGGGCAGTTAACCATTCTATATATGTGATGTAGGTATTCCTGGAATATTGAAAGTAATATTATAAGCCGTATTTTTTATGTTGTTATTTAATTTTAGCTAATTACTTTAAGATCAAGTAAGTTATTGAGAGTAGGCATAGAATGTTCTGAATGGACATCACGAAAACCTAGAGGCTTTGCAAAATATCTTGAACAAGGATTAGATATAAATATGGATGAGCCATTCAATAAGCTAAGTAAGCTTTCAGAGTGAAGCAGTGATAGAGTAAAGAAGTTAGTAATTTTCTAGCCACTAGTCTGAAGTATTTGGATGTTAGCTATAGTGCATATTGAGTTTCATCGTACAGTAAGTTGAATTGTTACGTTAGTGTAGTGCAGTTAGTGTCATTTGTAAACATGAATTAAAAGATACAACAATCTTCAAGAGTGTAAAAATGAAGGGGGAAATAAGCTAATTTGTTATCATTTATGAGGACTGAACTTTCAATTGTTTTCACCATATAACTCAAAAGAACAATGTTACAAGAATAATGTGATTTAATTCTGAAAATAAAAATGTAAAATCTCTAGATAGGCTATCCAGTCTACATATATGATGATTTCAATACAGTCACATGGAAGTCTAACATTTTTTCTGTCATACCTAGGGAAAAGTCTGGGATTTTCCAAGAGGGAGGTGCGAGTCATTTCTTTAAATTTTAAAAATAAGAGTTGGATTTTACACACATGCACATATTACTAGCCCCTGTAGGTTAGCACCTTGCATTTCACAGTTGTCTAAACTCAAAACTTGGTAGTCTTGGGGATCAGGCTATTGAATTTTTATACTCTTGACAAAGCATTGTGGTATTAATAAAGTTATCAGATTGAATTATTTCGGATAACTTTCAGATAGTATGCAAGAACCTCTAGAGGAAAGGTAAAAATGCATGAAGTAGAACAGCAATACAATGATACTTCATTTACTATTTCTATCTTCAGAGTTTCTAAATACAAAAATTTAATAGGTATTACTTGTTAATCAGTTGGTTATGATAAAATTGTAACAAGCATATATAAAAGAAACTATAATTCTAATTTTTGCTTTGTTGTGTTCAGTTGCTTTGCCACAAGTTAATTATATTTTGATCTGGAAAAAAAAATATAAATGAAGTATTGCAAGGTGAAATATGAAAGTAAGAAACAAATATATATGAATTACACTTTGGAAGTTTCGGGTTAAACAAATAGTGACAGGCCATACTGTAGTACTGATATTATCAGATAACTCACTGCACAACTTCAATGTCAAACATGAGTTCATGAATTGAAATGTATAGTTTTTGTGTTAGGTATTTTTCCTGTACTATGTATATATATATATCTTACAGAAAGTGTTCAAGAGTCATTAGAGAGGAGGTTTGGAAAAGCTGGAGGACGTATACCGGTTATTCCCAGTGAGTCATTCCAGAAAAGAATATCTGTAAGTTTAACTCAGAGGCATGCACATTAAACTCTGTGGAATGCTCTTCTTAGTAGTCTATAATTTTAAGCATGTAGGGAAAACGTTTGTCTTTATTTTCATTTTATAACCGTTTATCTCTACTCATTGTAGACTTTAGCATGGACTTTTTACTTCCTCTACCTGGTCTTCTATTACTATGTATAAATACAGTGGTTAGAATAGTTAGCTGTGAATAGATCTTTCTTTTGATTTCATTTTGTACTTTTCAGATGTTAAGAATTAACACTTAATAATGAATGATCTAATTTCTAGTTGTAAGTTTTAAACATAGAAACTGTATTTATTATATCAATCATTGAGTATTGTATTTTAGACAGTTATGATTTATTCATAGAAAAATTGTAAAGCTGCATCAATAAATGTTTTTCTTGATAAAAATAATGTTTCTAAAGTATGAAAAATACAATTTTTGATGTTAAAGATAACCCCACAAAAATCTGCTTCTTCATTGTTGTAGTAATACAATATCAGCTCATTTAATTTCTTTCAAAATATCTATTACATTAAATATATTTTTTAAAAATGTTAAAATAAAGTGTTTTAGAATATTCCACCTTTTTTCTGTATTTATTACCTCATAGAATAAAACTGTATAAATACAATACAAAATAGATTTTGCATTTCTAATTTGTAAAAAGTGAGGTTTAGTTCCATTTACAGTGATTTTTCAGATAGGTTCTATAAAATAATGATATTAGTACTAATTATGTTCTGCTGCAAGTTGAAAAAAAATTGAAGAACTTATAAAAAATGAAGGGTATTACTTTAGTGATACCTCCCTTAGTGCAACGTTAAAAGTTTTAAAAAACTTTTATTTTGAAATCTTAGGGAGCATCAGAAAAAGACATTGTGCATTCAGGTCTAGATTACACCATGGAAAGGTCGGCAAGGGTAAGTCTTTAATATAAAACCAATGAAAATGTTGTGTAAAGATTGGCATGCATTAAATGTGCTTATTTACATAGTCTCAAGAACATTTTAGTAAAAGAAACAAAGTAAATACAAACACAGATACTGTGGTACAGTATTAAACCTTTGGTGGTGTTTTTGTTGTTATTTTATATTTCAATAATATGTTCAGAGTTCACTAGAAATAGACTTTACAGATATCATATGTTGTATATGTAGCAGCTGTCTGATTTAATCAGAATCATTATGATTGGTCACCTCTTTTGTTTGTTGTTGTTCTAAATTCACATTTGTCTTCATTTATTCCAATTTTTATTAGTTTACTTCTTGTGATAAACTTATCAAGTTTAAATACAATTGAAGCTTTGAGTTTACGTTTAATTTTTAAATTGAACTTGTGAAGTGTGACAAAGAAGATAAACAATGGGTGTAACTATTTTCTCAAATGATCATTGATGCTCACAATAAGTATAAATACCTCAAGTCATCATTGCAAGTTTACACTATATACAAGATTTTCCGTAGACTTGGTGCCAGCTACTTTGGTTGCTGCTAGCAAGTCATGCTTTGTATATTTATTGCTTCCTCACTACTTCAAGATAACTTTTTGACAGTGAAAGGTGATTTACCTACATGGACTGCTAAAAAGCACTGAAAAAATATCGGGATAAACATGAGAAGGTATTTCACAGCTTAACTCTGTTGGCAGTGGTATCCTTTACTGTGCATGACACAAGGTTTTAGTGTCTTACATTCAAAATTTTATTAAACTACTTTTTGTTTATGTT